CAAATAGGGGTCGTCTCGTTTGGCATTCCCTGCGCTGTTAAAGGTTTGCCCGGAGTCTACACTAATCTCATATACTTCATGGACTGGATTCATGATAATATACTTTAAGTGATACTTGTTTTGTTAATTATTATTGTTATGGAGTTTTTATAATAAACATTATATTTTTATTGTAATTTTTGCTGTTTAATTGAAATAATGTAATTTTTACATCTTTATCAAAAAAGTGTCACCGCTTTAACATTGTGGTCAAATAGACCAGATATGTACAAACTTAACTAGATTGTTATGACACGATGGGACCGGTAGTGTCTAGACAACCAGTATACTGTATAAGTTTTTTTGTCTGTAATATACATGTATGTTATATAACTTATACCGAGAATAAATGGGTTTCTAAACTTAGGAAAAAGCAAAAAGATTATTTATTTAATGATAATTTGTTTTTTCTGTTGTTTCTATTGCTGTTTAATGAAATCAAATGATATTTTTTGTGTCATTATTTCCATTAGTTTTCAATTAGGACTCAATATTTTTGAATATATCGCATGAATTGTGTATTTTTTACTATAATTAATGCAAATTCATTGCAACACAACTTACCAAATAGTGTACGAGTTATAGTGAAATGATTTTTTTTTCTATTGTTCTCTGGAAAAAACATCTATTGTTCACTATATCAGTACACTATACACACGTGTATATAACTGTTGAACATGTTTTTCCAAGAAATCAGTTTCATTTGCCAGACAATTGGTTTTGATTGATTTGCTCGCAACTGGTATTTTACATTCATGTAATGTATGTAAAATTTTATGAATACTGATCGTGTAATCACTTTTTTTTAGTGGCCGTCGACAACCACCGGGACATCCAATTGGTTTGACTCAGTTTGTGAATGCAATCAATTCAGACAAACATTTTATTTATTAATATGTGTTTATGAATTGCAATTGCATTTACAAAATGAGCTCAATTTAAGTGTTGGACTCTCGATAAGGGAAACAAGAAATGGGATTCAATTACCATTCATACGCCAAAGAGAAGACCACCATGTTGAAAACTAATTATTTTTATATTTTATAAATAAAATAATCTAGTTTATTATTGATTTAATTGTATTATTTAAGTAGATAGTTATGTAATTTTCAATTTGTTACTTTGTAACAGTAAGTTATACTTAATCACATTAGGTGATAAATTCCCATAATTATAATTATTAATTATTTGATATACAGTATAAATATTAATTAAACTACTTTAATATTGTAAATATAATAAATGAATGGAAAATTTTAAGTGCAAGGTTTGCACCAATATTTTATTGGTAATAAATATTACTTACTTAAAAAAATTATTTAAATATTTACTATTAATTATTTTATATTAGTTAATATTTATTGAAAATGTTCATTCATAATTTTTTTTATTCATTTTAACATATTATAAAATAAGAACTTAACTATAAATACTACAGTACAATCTATTTTTAAATAATTATTATTTTAAAAGTTTACAATACATTACACTTAATTATTAACTAGAAAAGAAATAGACTTATAAACTTGTAAACTTATAAATAAACTAAAGATCTACAAAAAAAAAACTATAATTTTAAGACATTATAACAATAATTAAATAATGGCATTATTTGTGATTCAATTGTTTGAGTTCAGCCGCGAGTTTCAGATAAGAGATGTCTTTCTCAGTCGAGTCGTAACACCACTCGAGCTCTTCGGGAGCCACCGATTCCTCGGACCACTTGCGGCGAAACTCATTGACCAGATTGTCGTCCAAACGGTGTTTGCAGTCATTGCAAAAGACGCGTCGATCGCCGCCCGACTTGTGCGACAAATGCAACAACTCTTTGAGACACCGGCGGTGGTAAGTGTGGCCGCACTTCAGCACTTCCGTGTTGTCCAACGGTTCCAATTGATGCCAACAAAGGGCGCATTGCGGACCTTTCGCCTCGTGGTGTGACTTGCGATGATGTCCTCCTCTCGCCCCGTGACCTCTCTTATGGCCGGTGTCTGAATCGCTGGAACTGTCAGAAGAACTGCTGGAACTACTGCTCGAAGAACTACTGCTGCATTGCCGGTGGTGTTGGTGTTTGTCATGTTTTTTGTGACTTCTATGGCGCCTACTTTTATGATGGGAGTGATGGGAGTCGTGTTCATCGCAATGCTTGTGATGTCTGTCCATAACTCTGGAGGAGATAATTGAAAGTCTGTCTCAATAAATATGATGTAAATGTTATAATTAATTAAAAGTTTATAATAATCATTAGTTTGTACTATTAATAATAGTCTATTATACATCTGGAAAGTAACTTGGTGTTTGCTATAACTGTGTGTATTAGGATCTAAAGTGAACTAGTGGCTTTTATAATCAATAATTATGGTAATTATGATTGTTGTCTATAAAGTGTTGTCTCATTACTTGTATTGCAATTTCTGTGTATAATATACCGATTTTGTATACCGTTTGCAATCATAAGAAGTAATACATTATTTTTCATACAATTAATATATAATTCGTGTCATTATTTACGTTAAATTTATGATTCAGACAATTATTTGCATTTATTTTATTATCCTTTTATTCACAATAGTATGTTTTTAATTTTATTTATTTTAATTGTTAAATATATTTATAGTTTAAATAACAATAATTCAATAAAACATAGCATTTATAATCTTATAATATTATTTTAAATAGGATTTAAAATATTATGTATTTGTAATTGTATTTATGATTGTATTTAAGAAAAGTATTGCTAATGAATTGTTTTACATAATAAACTTATAATTAGTGTCAAAAAATATGTTTTTATTATTTGTCTCTAATTTAAGCACAGATTTACTGATTATATGCCAACTCAAAGTTTGAGTCAACTTATCTACCACTTATCATACAATTAAAATGCAACATTATAAAGCATTATGATATCTTTGTTGCATTATGATGCATTAGGATACTATTGCTTTATGAATAGTAACCAAGGATACTTTGATTAGATTTAAATGTACAACTTTTATGTAGACTTAAATGTGTGTCCAAACAGTTTGACAGATGTCTTCGGACGCTGTGTTTACGGCAACGGGTGTTGAAAATCAATGGCAAACAGAGGGAAGACAATCGACACTACGGACAAGAGTTGGTGTCAGCGATTGTCACCGAATATAGTATAGATTTAAGCCCAAAACGCTTGACACAAGTGCTTAAGATATTTAAAAATATAGATAAACTTCATTTGGGATGCGTTCGCAACAGCGGCGAAGTGTTGGCCACAGTAATGGCTAATTGTCAGCGCCTTATGGTCTTTGAGTTTAACTTTTTTCGCATCGGATCTGATGTTATGACAAAGTTTTTCCACAAGTTTGGACCTCATATTCAATGCCTAATTAGTGATAATGCCTTTCATAACGGACACCATGTGTTGCGATTGTGTCCACAGTTAGTGTCCATAAGCAGTGTCTGCACAAAGTATCTGATGCCAGACATTCAATGTATGAACAAATTGACAAAAATAGATAATTTAAGTGTTGATAATCTGGATCTATTTATCGAGATTGTGGACACTCTTCAGCACAGGTTAACCGACTTCGGAGTGGACATGGAGTGGGATTACGGGGCACACGACGGCGGGCCCACTGTTCCCAGAAATCCAGTGCTGGAACAGTTATCCCGTTTGACCAACATCAAACATTTATCAGTTATTTTGGGTGATATTGAATCCTATGATCATTTGATGGCCACAAATGTGGACTTAATTGCAGTGAAATGTCGACATTTGTTAAGTTTTTCATTGAAATGTTGGGTTCAAAAGGGATTGAATGCCAGAAACTGTTTCGAAAGTTTCAGAAACTTTACAACACTTAGAAAATTACGGTTTGAAGTGATTTACTCATCGCTGGAGGACTGGGATTCAGAGGCTGTCGATCCGGACATACCGTTAAGCAAAAAATTGGTTGATTTAAAGTGTCTGAAGAAATGTGGCCATCGGTTGAGATATTTGTCGGTAAAGTATATGCGAGTCGACGACAGTTTCTTTGCCTCCATCGACACAATTGTTCCCAATTTAAGACATATAGATGTGAAGACATTTTGCAGTTTATCCGATGAAACAATAAATAGTGTTTTAAAACTAAAACGTTTGACACAATATAGTTTGCGATCAAATTTAACACTCAATACAAATATGTAGTTTAATTAACTAAAAAATCATTTATTAAGCAAATATTAATTAATAATAATGTAAAATAAAAAATTAATTT